ATTTTGATCTTGTTACGCCATCATAAGTGTTAGGCGAGTTCGTGCTAACGAGGGTTTACTGTAGTACGAGAAAGTGTGCCATTCTGAAACCCCACTGATTGATTTATTTTAACGTCGAAAAACAATTAAAAACTGTGTGACGCGTACTATGGGGAGAAGTGAAATCTGTTGACGTTTCCTTAAATTCTAAGATCTCTACCCTAACCCAACTGCGAGTTGAATTATGAATACAGATTGAAAGTGCGGTTTTGGCAAAAATTGATAAGTTAATATTAGTTCCCATGTAATAAAAAACCATTTGCAAAGTAGAAAAGTTACAGATTGTGGTTATTATCCCTCTTCGTGCCCTTATTGATGGAATCGACTTACTGCCGCGAGAACATGGAGAACGTTAATTTGAATAACTATATTACTCACCAAACTCTAGAAATCGTGCACAGATGGTGAAGTTGCATTATATGCGCTGAAACAAAATAAGGGCCGTCGCAGCATTCGCTCAAAGGTTCGAGGAAACTGGACGAAAAACCTGATCGAGATTTTGACCCAAAATCTCGGGTACAACACTTTTTATCAGAATATTTAGTATTTTAAAATTATATAGTCCAAATGGAAAATAATTCAGTGGAGGTCATGTTAAACATTTCTTGTGATACGTGAACAGTACTCTTAAAGTATTACTAGTATGAAGAGGAGGAGGAGGTGGTGGTGGTGGTGGTGGTGTAGGTCTGCACTCATATTGTACTATACATTTTCTGTTAATAAATAATCCATTTCTCAAGACTTGTTGTTGAGTTTTGTTACATTCTGTGTATAAACAATGCTAGGGAGTTCTTAACAGAAATGGGTTATCGAGTTTTTCTGCCATTGTCATGAATTGTAAAGTGGGTATCCCCACGATGAAAAAAGTGTAGTCATTGTGGGTATCCCCAAAAAGTAAATGATCCGTCACATTCCATATATTGTAGAACAGTTGTGATAGTAAAATACTACTTGTTAAGAAAAGAATTTATTGTATTTCATGTGTCGCAGATATACCAATTTATTCCAAAAAGGGCCTCTCAGGATAGTGATTCTCGGTATATAAAAATATTACATTTCTTCAGAATAAATATTTTTAACATTCATAGCAACGGTAAGAAGAAATGCGATTTATCATACGATTAAAAACTTTGATTTGCTAAAAAAAATTGTAACAAATAACTTGTTTTGTCGCGCGAACCCATTGAATGGAGCCATGGAAGCTATCCAGACGAACGGGTCTCTGCACGACCCGACCAGTACACGACGACTCAGTCTGAGAGCTTTACGGAACGGCTGCGAGTGGAGCATGTGAAGGTGACCTTTCTGCTTTGGAGGTTGATTGTTTTGAGGTTGTTGACGTGAATTAATCGTTGTTCAAC